GGTTAAAGTTTTTGTTTATTTTAAACACTGTATTGTTCCTTCATATATATATATATATATATATATATATATATATATATATATTTGCACTACAAATAAGATATGAGCAGTGTGCATAGGAATTTGCTCGTGTTTTTGTCAAACTTTAGTTCAGCACCCTAACAAACCGGCTCCCTGTTTAAAATTTTGAGGATCCCTGGTCTACACCTTCAGTTCATCCTAACTCATTGTCCATTTCAGGGAAAGCTCTGACCATTTTTGTATGCTTTGCAATAACTCTGAGTACACAAATATATTGCTGGTATGAGATAAATGTTCAAACAGGAGAAAGAAGGAGTTCTTTTATATCCATAATTACTATTCAAACCACGTGCTTATCAGTCCTTTTAAACTAAGCCTTAGCGAAAGAGTGCATACCCTGTCATTTCAGAACTGCAAAGAATGAGAAGAATGGAGCTAATGTGGCAATTGGAAAATATGCACAGAGACCAGCTCAATGTGATTCTTAAGCTCTCCAAGTCATTCCTATAACATAAAGCAAATGCAACACATTTCCAAAGAAAATAATAATTCAGCTTTGCTGTTTTTGTAGTTTTGTTGATGGCTCAATAGCAGTGGGGAGTAATGAAATAATGATTGTGGGTGTCTTCCATCTGCATGATTATAATAAAAATCTGAAATGCTTCCAGTCTGTTTTCCCTTAGCACTTCTTCAGGACTTGTAAATAATTGATTAGCTTTTATTTACTTTATGTTTATTCCACCTTTCTCTTGATATAGGGACTCAAGATAGATATAGGGACTCAAGGAGTTGCACAAACCACCCACCCAGTCCCACCAGAATACTTTTTTTGTGTCTGCAGGTTACCACTGAGAGCATTGTTTAACGACTGGAAGGGTGTCTTTGAGCATGGTTGTCTTGGGGGCTCATTGAATGAGGATTATTTTAGAAAGGATGATTAAATTTTCTGTTAAAGCCGGGTTCAAAGAAAAGTAGAGAAGGGGGAGGCCATATGTAGAAAAGTTCCCAGTATCTTGAGATGCGGAGAAACTGGTGTCACACCACATCCTAAATAATATAATATGGCTCTCTCAAGTGGTGAAGTGCTCTGTATCGCCACAGAAAGTGCCGAATTTTCTAGATGAGATTTGCTACCTATGAAGAAAAGTTCTGTAGTGAAAGCCGATTACCTCATCACCGACTCACAGAAGAGAGTGATCCATCTAATTTCTCTTCCTTACAAATTGTCAGAGAGGTTATTATAGTTCAGGCAGGCTCATTAAGGGCAATGCCAAACATGGTGAGAATGGATGGATGGGAGATTCAATAAAAAAGCAGGCTGAAAAGCTATTCTACACAATCCAGTCGTTACTAAGCTCCTGCTGAACAAAGGCTTGCATTGTTTGGGGCATAATTTCTCCCAGGGTGGGAAAAAAGCCTTGAAATGATGTGCCAAAATATATTTTACAAGGAATATTGTATACTGTATGACCTAATGAACCACAGCTCTCTCTTATAGCTGTACTGAAGAAGAAAAGCATGGATATTTCTCTTTTAAAGAGAGAAAAAGGGGAGGTAGTTCATTCCAACATTTGAACCAGCTCCAGTTCCTCCTCCCCAATTTTGTGTTTTGAGAAACAAAGAAAGCACTAGGATTTACATTTTGCCATTCTCCACTACTGTGTAAAGGCCCAAAATGAGGTCTACATGGCTTTGGAAATGACAGATCATTCTGTGTATTAATGACTGTAAAAGCCTGGGCCAAGGAAGCACAAATCATTCAAATGCCAGGAGACTAATGAATGGTCTCGATAGGAACATTGGGTAGAACCCAGACTTGAGGGATCTATTTTACCTCTTACTACAAGGTCCACCAACTGGAGTCAAGCACGAAACAGAAGTAGATATATTCACTAAGAATGAAAAAATAAGCTGTCTCTAAGCACATTCTCAGCTAAGGAATTTGGTTCAATAGCAGATTTCATAGACCTTTCACATGAAAATCCACTTTTGGTTTTCATCCAAGCCTTCAGTAGCCTAGTTTGGATGGGGGATTTGGTACAGAGCCTTTTCATTGTTTTGAGAGTTGAATCAAAGCCCCTTGACAGTCAACAACAAATCTCCCCAAAATCTTTCAGTCAATTCTATTCAACCCTACACAGTGGCATTGCTGCAGCCAAGTGGATGTGAACCTGGACAGAGTTAGAATGGGAATGCAATGGAAGCTTTTGAGAGTAGGATATAAGTACAATAACTTCATATAATTATTTCATCTAGTTCCATCTGCAATCATTTCATGGTAGACTATGTTTAGGGCACCTTTTCTAGCCTCCCCATACAGGGTGAGCAGAGTGGATCGTTAGGTGTATATATCACAGCAAATAAGGTAATGTTGTAACTGATATGTGTAACTATGAACTACCTACATAACTGTTAAGAAGAAATTGTAATTAATTTTTCAAATAGTCTAAAATAGTTTGCTATTGTTTTCAAAACAAATGGGACCCAACAGTACTTTTTTCTACATAATGCTTTAAAACTTGAAATACATTCTTTGTTTGGTATGGCTTTTTCCCCTTTCCACATCCCATTTTTTTCTCACTAGCAAAAGTGATTTTTAATATGAAAAATTTGAAAGAACTGTATAACTTGCTTGAGGCTGCATTATTGTCATGGCTCACTGCTATGGAATTTCTGATGAATTGTCACCTTCTCATGATGAGGGGACTTGTGTCTTCCAATGAACCTGCAGGCATAACCACTGGAGTCATGCACTCCCAGGAGGGGCTGTAGGAGAGGTTCCAGACCAAGCACAATCTGAAGGCCTAAAGACCTCAATGGCAGATCAGGCAGAAGATAACATGGTACATGTTACGACAGCTGTGACAATGGAAGAAGGCTGCAACAGTTTGAGAAGCCACTGTCATTGTATTAACCATACTACTGGTTGGAACCCTCACTCTGAAGACTGTGTGTTGATCAGCTGTGCACTGACCCCCACACATTAAAAAAAAACCCTCACACACAGGCATCTTCCAAAAAGAATAAAACCAAACCAACAAAAGTCCCATGGCAATCAGCAAGTGGCAACAGGGGCAGGACTGTAAAATCTGGAAGTCCCTAATCACAGACTGGCACGTGGGCGGTGGGTATGTTTTCCACTGCCAAGACATTACACTTGGAAGGCCATCATGCTCAGACGAGGGATCACCTAAGTTTAAAAAGAGGTATGGAAGAGGTGGGGCCCTTGCACTTTTTGGCCGAGAAGGCTAAACACCTTGTAACACTGCAACTCCCACAAATCCATAGTATTGAGTCACTGCCGTTAAAGTGGTGCCAAACTGCTTTGATTCAATTGGATTGCAGGGCTAGAATTTGGCCCTTGAAATCCGATAATGTTACATGGTAAAATGCAAGTTAGTTAACTGTATCTAATTCTATGGGTTGTAAGAATTTTGAAAGTAAACAGAAGTTATAAAGATGTAAAAACTATTGCAAACTCTAGGAATGCAGCTTAAGACATTTCTGAAATATTAGAAGGCATATAAAATAATGGCCCTTGTCTATTTAAAAATGTTTCCTATGTGGTATATTTGAATATGTTGTTAACAAACATTTTGTGTGTGTTTTTTAAAATATGTATGAAAATCTATCTTCGAGGACATATTGGAACAAGTGTGAGCAGTCAATGGAACTCTCTTCTATTCTTTTGTGTGATTTTCTCCCCTCCCTGCAAAGCCTCAAATTGCAGCCAAGCAACCTCAAGAAACCATAGCAACTATCTTGTGACAATCCTGAGTAGTTTTTGTTCGACAATAGATGGGCCATTAATCACATCAATTTCTGCCAATGCAATTTTTTTAGAGTTCTTCAGCTGAAAATTATTCCTAAACATTAGTATGTGATAAAGTAACTTCTCTGATACAGAATCATTGTCAATTTTTGAAATATTATTTAGTTGCCATCTCCTGACTCACAGAAAACCATATTAAATAATCTAGAGCTGATGTGGTCTATCCAAGGGGACAGGGCTGGTTAGTGATAGGGAAGGAGTGGCAGGTGGCATGAAAGAAGTGGAAATAAAATAAAATAAAATAAAGAGGAAGGAGGCTCGTGGACCAGATTTTCGTCCTCATGTCCTACTGGTGGTCTGAGGCTCACAGGTCAAGAACCACTGCTTTATTCTAAATTATCATCTTATGAAGATAGGTTTAAAGGTGAAATTAGATTTTATCTTTTTGGTGGTTGTATCAAAGAGAGAATTTCAACAAATCTTGCTCCGTCCCTTATTCTACCTATATGTAGAGAATTGAAGTAGATCTGTTTGTCTTAACTTAAAAGGAGGTAGACTTGTAGATTGTATGTTAGGAGAATTTTTTTTTATAGTGACAGTTCAACAGTGGAATCAGTTTAGTAGATTAGTAGTTGGATTCTCCTCTACTGGAAATCTTCAAGCAGAGGTTGTCACCTACTTGGAAACACTAGCTTTGGGGGTCCTGAAACACCCAGAGCTGGGCTGGACAGTCTACAAAACACTATCTTACTCTATGATCTTATGGGTTGCACACAATGTTGACCAATGATTTCTACTAAAACAAATTTCCTTTATACCTACCATTCACTAGCTTTTATTTGGACTGGCCTGACAATTATCAAAAGTAAACCTGGCATGATGCAGTGGAGGAATTTGATTTGCCAGTGGTATCTTTTCCACTGCAAGGAACCCAATGAAAGAATCATGCCAGAATCTCCTCCAATTGTAGTCGTTGTACAAAAGATTTTCTGATAGAACAGTGTTTTGGGAATTCACTGATATAGGGTCGAAGTGGGAGATGGAAAGTGCTAGCAAGCTACCCTTTTTTTCAGTCTCTGCTGTTGCTGCTTTTGAATTTTCCCCAGAAAACCTTTAAAAATATCTAGTAATTTGCTCTAAACTGCCATCAGTTATAGAATTGTCATACTGAGCAGCAGCAAAACTTGTGAATAAAGACAGATGTGTATTTTGCACGAACAGGGTTTATTTTAACACAGTTTAAAAGATTGTGTGAGTTCCTGAGATGGAGACAATCAGCTAATTCCCCCTTCCACAAAAAGAAAACAATTTAGATTTGAAACTCAAACAACAGCTTGATGAAAGTGTTCAAGTTATCAGCAAAAGGGGAAAAAAACAGAATATGAAATATAACATTATAAACAAAATAAAAGATGGTGCACCAAACAATATACTGGAAGAAATTTAAGTCACATGACAATCATAGATTAAAAGAAATATGGAGTCAAGGGAGAGACCGGAAGAAACAATTATTTCATGGCACCAGTGGCACTGAATCCACCAGTATCCTTGACCAAAGTTTTAAGACAAGAGAATCAAAACTATAATTTCATAAACAGTTCACAATTCTGTTTTTTTTCTCCAAAGTTTTTCACAGTTTTTGCAAAGCTCCTCCAATATACTGAAGGGTGGAACTATATGGCTCGTCATTAGCACCCATGGCTACACACAAATAGATATTTTAAACAATGATGGTACACAATATCCCTTGACAACCGTGCTACCTGCAACCCAGTCTGTGATGTCTGCGGATCTACAATCTTCACTCATCTGAATGCAGTATGTGTGAGAGTAAATGCTGACACAAATGTTGCAATGGTTACATAAGGCACCCTGAATACACTATGATTGTTCTTGCTGCCTGAATTACTGTTTGTGTTGTTTAACAACATCAAAAACTAAGTTACCTAGATACTTATACTGTACGATGTTTCATTTGATTATGTTTAGGTCTTTAAATTGATATCCTAGCACAAGGAATTAATAAAATATTTATGTTTAGGTCTGATTCATTCAGCTTAATAAATCATTATGTATTACATAAAGAACTAATGTTGTGCCTACATGTTTCTTTTTATGCACACAGGATTCAGACTTCTAACATCTTCTTGTTGAAATTAGTTTTTTGTTATATCTAAAATGGAAAGTTGTCATGTAGTCTTAATCAGGATCAGTCAAATGTAACAGAAGACTGTGGTCAAAGCACAACGAAAGTTTCCAAGCTGGCACATGAAAGGGAGGGAAGTAACAAGGACACAATATTTGTTCTCAGCCTGATAAATACAATTTACTGGTTACATCTGAACTGAGTTTAGAGTGCACAATTCCTTAAGACTGAATAGTTCCTATTCTCAAAGTTGCAATTTTTCTTCATGTTCAATACAATCTATATAGGAAGGGAAGTCTAAATGTTTGATTGCACACAACTGGCTGATTCTACAGTGCTTTTCACAGAACAAATGTGGATCATCATAACTCACATAATAATAGTAGTAATATTTTTGAAATAATGTGCTATGTGGTGCACTCAATCGATTTGTCATTTCATAAAGGCTTTCTGGGATTAAGTCCTCCATTCCATAAGCTTTGGTCATAACATATTCAAGCTTCCAGACTGATTCATTTTTCATGTTGGCTTCTGTGAGATTCAAATAGAACTGCCAAAGATCCTAGAATTTAAAAGAAACAAAAGAGTACACAAAGCTTTTATCTGCTTCATTGCATTTCTAGAGTGATGTATTGATTAAGAAGCCATCACTGCCTATTATTCACAAGTGAAAAGAAGAGTCATGTCCCACCACATGTGGATTCAGAAATCAAATCAGTTTTGTCATACAGTAAAATTGGGTGGGTGGGGTAGGGGGAGGCAAAAGATGACCAGAAACAAAAGCAATACTCATGGCTATAGCCTTTACATAAGGAAAGCAATATAAAGAAAATTCACACCAATGTATCCAATGGCTGTTAAAATACTGCTTATGTAGTTTTGGGCACCAAACAGTTTCATGTAAATCAAGTTTTCTTCTTTTGGAAAAGGAAAACAAGTTTCAAATAGTTCATTTCTCCTAAGACTACAATAAGCAGATCAAGGGCCTTTCCAGACAGGCATTATCCCAGGAACATCCATGTTTAAAAAACGCAGGGCCTGTCCACACTCACATCAGAAAGCGTGTGCTTTCTGGGGTGGGTGTCCAGACATTCTTCCAGGACTGACCTGGGAAAACATCTGGAGCCTCTACCCTCTCCCCCAAAGACCCAACCCCCTTTTAAAAGTAAAATAAATTTACCCGGCCTCCATTACAGTGTTGATAGAAATGATGTGCCAGGAGAGCAGGGCGACAACTGATCCCCCCCTCCCGCCCCATTCTCACAAAATGTCATTTCTATGTGCCGGGAGAGCTCCGGGACGTAGCTCTGTAATTTAGTCTGGAGAACTTTGGGAATGTGAGTTTATCCATTCTTGTACCTTTCTCAATGATCCAGAAGCAACACTTTGTTGAAAAAGATTAACTTCCAAGTAGGATCGAGCTACATACTGTAATGTTCTCAGCCAAGGAGTTTATCACACAAAGCAAGCAAATCCCAGCCAGTTTTAAGCATGAATTTCAAACTCATGTCCTTTGTTTAGTCAGTTTTGTGTACTTTAATGTGTATTTTATAGAAATATGTTTTAATATATCTTTTATAGAAACATATTTTTAAACCCCTGTGCTGGCAGGACTGCTGACTGACAAGTCAGTGGTTCGAATCCAGGGAGAGCAGGTTGAGCTCCCTCTGTCAGCTCCAGCTCCCCATGCATGGAGATGAGAGAAGCCTCCCACTAGGATGATAAAACATCAAAGCATCCGGACATCCCTTGAGCAACATCCTTGCAGATGGCCAATTCTTTGACACTAGCAGCAACTTGCAGTTTCTCAAGCCGCTCCTGACATGGGGAAAAAATTCCCGTGTCTCAATTATCATAGTGTTAAGCTTTATATTCAGATTTTTTTCCGCTTCTGCACATATCATGAAAGGTGAATGTTAACTGCTGAAATTCACACAACATCAATATGTTCTATTTAGACTTACCAGTAGACTATATGAAGAAGGATCAAATTGGTATAGTCTCACTCCTGGGTTGTTTGTGTCTGATTCCCAGATAGCCTTCACTGGTGTCACGGCAGGTGCCACAAACAAGGAGTTTATAGGTTTTCCTGAACAATTAAAAAAAAGGTTGAGGATGAAAAAAATGAATGTGGGGAAGATCTTAATTAAACTGTACTGGTGGTAAAATGGGTGTCTATACAGTATTTATTATGCTAGTTCCTTTGTACATTGTGAAAAGTTTTAATGTAAGAACCACACATGGAAACTAATTATTCATGCACTGATTCATCATATTTAATAAGATTTAATAAGGTAATGCCAAATATATTTTACTCTAATTTAAAATCTTCAAAAAAAAACATCCAACTTGACCTCCAAAATGCTATAGAATCATGGGAGTGTTCGTTTTAAAAGGTCTTTAGCCTTCCCTGCCGAAGTATTGGAGCCTGACCAAACTACAAATCCCAGGATTCCATAGCATTGAGCAATGGAAGTTAAAGTGATGTGAAACTACATTAATTCTACAGTGTATATGTACTCTAGGACAGTGTTTTTGGGCTGCTTTTCACTAGTCATTAATTATGTGACCATGTTGGGAAAAAGGTCAGCAAGACAGAGATGGATTTTCAGGAGGTGGCAGTTGAGATAGTGAATTCCTCCCTCCACAATGGTCAGATCACGCATAGGCCTATGTTACACTACTGAATGTCACTAACATGATGTAAGTAAACTTTATAAGCTTGAACTATGTGGGTGTGAAAAGCTATTTCATGTGCTTTTTAAAATATATTGATTTTTTTGGGTGGGGGGGTACAGAAGCAAACTACTCATCCTAAAAATAATTCAAACTGTATCAGAATTCACATCACTAAACTCTATTTCAACTCATCACATCACCATTTCTGGTCATTCTACTTAAGGTCCCAAGTTTTTGGCTGCATTTCTACATGTATTTTGGAATAAATCCCATAGAAATCAGCTTGTCATGCTTACTTCCAAATGAACACCAATTAACAGCACTAATCAATTGAAGCTTTAATTGTCTATTAATTTACATGCAAACAAAAAGAAGTGGCAGTGGGACTGCAGATGCTTAAAGATCAGCTAGGCAAGCATACTGGACTTGTTAATGCTTCAGAGATCCCAAATTACTACACAGCCAGCTTTTCTGGCTGAAAGTATTATGCATTCCCTTCAAATAGTGTAACCTGCTGTTAACTGAAGGATATTTTGTGGGTTATTTAACTGAAATTTGATGCTCCATTTCCCTGACTTGCCTAACTCACTTTAGTCAGTTTCTACAATTAGAATCTGAAAAGAACCCACAATGTGAAAAGTCATATGTTACATTATATTAAATAAAGTTTTATTAAATGGTTTAAACCTAGGGCCCTTCCAGAGAGGCATAAAATGCTTTTACCCGAAGTGTCCAAATGATGCCTCGGGTAAAACCAAAATAATCCAGAGAAAACTGTGATTTCCCAGTTTGCTTTGGATTAATAAAACACCTGGAAAGATCCAGACCTTGATTTAAGGTCCAGATATTTTCTGGTAAGTCCTTTGGGGATTGACTACCAGGACTAATTCACCCCCATAGCCATCTCAGTTGTTTGGGTTCCTAGAAATCCCTCCTCCCCTCCCCCCACCTCTGTAGTAAGCTTTTTGGAGGAAAATGGGGAGGGGGACTGGATGCCATCCCATTACAACCTTTGGTTGATCTGAGATGACATTTAGCCACCCCTCAAGGGAAAGCCCAGAGTTTGGGTTAGGGGTAGGGACACACAAACCCAGGAGGAAGTGAATTAAAATCACCCACTTTCTCCCAGGTTTTTGCCCTGTCTCGAAGGGCCTCTGGAGTGGGGGAAATGCAATCCCCAGGCTACATGATATCACTTTTCCAGACCCTGAACCTCCCCACCCCCAGCTCCCAAACTTTGGTGCAATTTCCAGGCAAATTCATCTGAAAACTGCACAGAAAACCATCAAATGTGGAAACACCCAACCCAAATAATGCCCCTGAGCCTTTCACCACTCCAAATATCTCCATTTCCCTTGCAATCCCATTCAAAACAGCAACATGGAGTGATATGATGTCACCATTGCTCAGTAGTTTGAGAGGGGCTGCAGATATCAACACAGATATTTGGGCTTGCTGCGGAGGGCTTTACAGCAAATTCACCTCTGGACCTCACATCTGGCCCATCTTTCATTTAAAATTACACAAAAACTGAAAATATTATTATGGCTGAGTTAGAGGTTTCTTCACATGGTGACTATTAACTGAAGAAACTGAACTGTTTCAAAACTGCATTAAGAATTCTACAACCCCCATTTTAATGAGCCCCCCTCCGCGAATAACCTGCTTCTCCTTTATCTCACCTGAGTTTTTAATCAGTTTTAATTAGTTTCTCTTTTAATCATTACATGTAGCCTGCCCATTGTCACTGTGATTGTGTTTATTGTAATTTTATGTTGTTATGCATTCATATGTTTTATGTAATTATGATGTTGTTGTTTATTGTTTGTGTTTTTGGTTTTATTCTGCTGTAATTAGTTGTTTGGGCTTGGCCTCATGTAAGCCGCCCCGAGTCCCCATTGGGGAGAAGATAGCAGGGTATAAATAAAGATTATTATTATTATTATTATTATTATTATTATTATTATTATTATTATTTTCATTCACATATTCTGTGCACATCTCCCTGGCTTTTTCTAAGAGACTGTCACCATGTTGCAGACTACAGAAAATGTCCATATCTACTCTTTGTAATGTTTTGCTAAGCTGAAGGGATGATCACATAAGCTTTCTAAGGATGTGTATGGTTATTACAAATTCAGCATTCAGAACAGCTTTAAGGTGTCCAGCTTGAGAAGAAGTCTCCTGTTGTATAGAGGACTCTCTTTTAGTTCTTTAAGTGTTCTCACTACCATACTGTACAGCTCAACAAAATGCAAAACTTAAAAATGTTCAGTTGCTTTGATAAATGATTAGGCATCTTCTGGAGTTAGCTGGGTGAAAGGAAACACTAGCAGCAACTAACAGGGCTTTCAGTCTCAGAACAGCAACTCAAGTTAGCAGACAATTGCCTAGTAAGACAACTATGTTTGGAATGACCCATATCTACTTTCATGCCTTCCTTCTATATCCCAGTGGGAGAAGCATGAAGGTGGAATGTAAGAGCGAGCTCTGAAAGGGGGGAGATAAAGAGAGCAGTGATGTGACTACTTTCAAGTTTTAAAAGTAATATTTCAAAAATATTAATGATGTTAAAAACAAATGCAACTACATAATAACATCTATCATTGCATTCAATTTCATGAAAAAATGTTGATTAAAATCAGAGATACAGCATTTTGTAAGATATCTCTCTCTCACTCACACACACACACACACACACACACACACACACACACACACATATATTCACTTTAAATTGGAATACCTAAAAATCAAGATCTATGACCCACACATATTATTATATTTTTAAAACTATTAAAATGCCTTTCATTTTGTATCTAGTTATTCATTTCAATTGGTGAAACCCGAGGATGTGGACAAGATACTTGGAGGAATGAGGCCAACCACATGCATCCTGGACCCCTGCCCATCCTGGCTTCTAAAGGAGGCCAGAGGGGGATTGGCTGAGTGGGTTAAGGTGGTGGTTAATGCTTCCCTTCGGGAAGGCAAGATTCCAGCGAGCTTAAAACAAGCTATAATAAAACCGCTGTTGAAGAAACCATCACTGGACCCCACTAAATTCGACAACTATCGGCCAGTTTCCAATCTCCCCTTCTTGGGCAAAGTCTTGGAACGTGTGGTGGCCTCACAACTCCAGGTATTCTTGGTAGACACGGATTATCTAGACCCGGCACAGTCTGGCTTTAGGCCGGGACATGGTACCGAGACAGCCTTGGTCGCCTTAGTGGATGATCTGCGCCGGGAGCTCGACAGGGGGAGTGTGTCCCTGTTGGTGCTGCTTGACCTCTCAGCGGCCTTCGATACCGTCGACCATGGTATCCTTCTGGGACGCCTCGCAGGGATGGGTCTTGGAGGGACTGTTTTGCAGTGGCTCCGGTCATTCCTGGAGGGTCGATCTCAGAAGGTGTTGTTGGGGGACACCTGTTCAACCCCACAACCATTGTCTTGTGGGGTTCCTCAGGGCTCAATATTGTCTCCCATGTTGTTTAACATCTACATGAAGCCGCTGGGGGAGATCATCCGGAGTTTCGGGGTACGTTGTCATCTGTACGCGGATGATGTCCAACTCTGTCACTCCTTTCCACCTGCTACTAAGGAGGCTGTCCAGGTCCTGAACCGGTGCTTGGCCGCTGTGACGGTCTAGATGAGGGCGAACAAATTGAAATTGAATCCAGACAAGACAGAGGTACTCCTGGTCAGTCGCAAGGCCGAACAGGGCATAGGGTTACAGCCTGTGTTGGATGGGGCCGCACTCCCCCTGAAAGATGCAGGTTCGCAGCTTGGGTGTGACCCTGGACTCATCGCTGAGCCTGGAACCCCAGGTTTCGGCGGTGACCAGGGGAGCATTTGCACAGCTAACGCTTGTGCGCCAGCTGCGCCCGTACCTTGGGAAGTCTGACTTGGCCACAGTAGTCCACGCTCTGGTTACATCCCGTTTAGACTACTGCAACGCTCTCTACGTGGGGTTGCCTTTGAAGACAGCTCGGAAGCTCCAACTAGTCCAACGCTCGGCAGCCATGATTTTAACAGGAGCGGAGCGCAGGGAGCATACAACCCCCCTGTTGCACCAACTCCACTGGCTACCGATCTGCTACCAGGCTGAATTCAAAGTGCTGGCGTTGGCCTTTAAAGCCCTAAACGGTTCCGGCCCAAGCTACCTATCTGACCGCATCTCTGCCTATGAACCCACCAGGACTTTGAGATCTTCCGGGGAGACCCTGCTCTCGATCCCGCCTGCTTCTCAAGCTCGGCTGGCGGGGACGAGAGATAGGGCCTTCTCGGTGGTGGCTCCTCGGCTGTGGAACGCCCTTCCTACGGACATTAGACTAGCACCATCTCTAATGGTATTCCGCAAAAAGGTGAAAACCTGGATGTTTGTGCAGGCGTTTGAGTAATTTAGTGCAATCT